TTTTTTAAAAGCTTGATGTAGCAATAATAACAGGAAGAAATGACTGTATTTCTAGGAAATCCCATCATAGAAACTTCTAGATGTTTTGACATCTGCCTTGGTTGCCATGTAAATATTCTGTGCTTCAGTTCAGTTTTGACAGATACATACCTCTTCCACTCCGACCGACAAACCTGAGGTCATTGAATCTTGCAACTTGGTTTTTCATGGCTGCTGTTGCATTTCTCAGTTCGGCTGAGTAGTTTTCATCATTGCCTGCCATCACAGTGACCAGAGTGCCATCTGGAACGTCCCCCAGAGCCACCACCTAAACACCAGTCAAGGGACAGATGCAGACACCAGGCAGGTTAGAAACTTTCATGCCATTTGCGTAGTCATTATTCTAAAACTCAATATATATGACATGATGCTTTTGAGTTTTCAAAGGAACAGCAGTCGTAAGTTAAACAAAACAACAGCCAAGTTATTAATGGGAAGATTCACTTTAAATTCCACTATGCAAAACTAAATATAAATGTTCAAGTCATAAAACATTCACCTCATGAAGCTGTGTAAGGTCACAGGGCACAGTTGGAATAAGATGCATAACAAGAACTTTGAAAAGCTCTGCCTTCTCATGAATATGATCATCTCTTCCTAATTCTGCATATTTGAGAAACAGAACATCTTGTTTTTTGGAAGTTTGTAACCTAACCCATCTTTTACTCATCCAGACATCCACTGACAGGCCGAACAGGGCCAACTTTATCTTTTCAGGGTTTAAACTTATTTCTGCCAAAATGAAATTCGATTGCCACCACTGAACTGTTGAAGATTCTTGAATGATTTAAACTGCCCCTCTGCCGTCAGTTCATCCTTGATGCCTTCTTCTACTTTCTTTTATTATCTTAATTTTCACTAGCAGTGAATTCTGGTATGCAAGGAAAAAAGAAAAACAGAAATATACCCTTTGCTTAACACTAATTACTAAGTCAACAGACCTCAGAGAAGAGGGGTGCTCATTTTTGTGTCCTCCTCTGAATTCAGGAGTGGAACTCCATAGCATTTTTATATCTGTGAGTCACAGGGTTGTGTTAACTAGGACCAGATAGATGACAAGGTGTCTGTTCTCCAAGCCCAGATGACCTTGAAGAAGAATTCCTTCAATGGAACTGAACAGGAATAGATTTCCTATCAGGGCTAGTCAAGTAAACTAGTAAAAAAAAATATTTTTGATACTTAGGTAATAAAAAAGAACAGTCATTTCAAGGTAAAGTGCTCTAAAGTGCATGGCACAAAGGTGCTTCGTACTGTAGGATCCCACTTCTTGGTCATTTGACCTTTCCAAAAACTATTTTCTTGGTCTAAAAATTTATCATTAGCTATACTTCCATTGTTTCTATTTTGTACAAGTGGTCACAGAATTTCAAATCAAAATGCCCTCAAGTTGTATTTGTTCCTATCACTTCCGACTTCCCTTCTGGTACTCTCTCAGTAGTGAAATGTGTGCTAATCATTCCAATTATACAAGTTTTTTTTTTTAAGTTTGCTTTTTGAGTTGTGATAATAAAGCATTCTACAGTGATTATTCCTGCCACTGTTTCCCACCTCCTCATTTTTACCTAATAATTACTACATTTTGGGGGTGGTGGTAATACCTATATTTCAGTCCTCTTTTCCTGTCTGTAAACAAGGCTGCCACAGACTCCCTTGTATGAGAGCAAAGCCATGTTTCTCTAAATTCCCATCTTCACTGCCTGCTTAATCATTACCCTTTCTCCTTGTCATCCAGATGATCATCTATTGTTTTTATTCCCTATGAGCTTCAGCTCTTGGATTCAAAGAAATAGGACGGGGAAAACGAACCCATAAGGGTGGCCCTACTTCCGACCCCAAGACTGCATCAGGGGAATCAATTCTCACAGCAATAGGCAGGCAAGTTCCTCATCTAATTTTATCCAACTTGCACTTTTATCTTTCTTTCTAATCCTTTCCATCCAAATGTTGTACATCTTTTCTATAAAGGAGATTTACAAACAAAGCTGTTTAGTCCCCAGGCACCCTCTAATTAGGTATTTAGATCCATTAGAAGTATGTGTGTTGCTGTTTAATTAAGAGCAGTAATATGGCAATTCCCTTTTGTTTCAAAAACATAATTGAAATAAATCTCCTTGATCAGTTATTTAATGATTGTTACCATTTTTTTCTATTTCCATAAAAAGTACTTGCTTTATTCTGCTCTTTTCAGTCTCTTAAAAATCCCCCTCCTCTTTTTTTCCACTGATTTCACTTCCCTCTGTAAAATTAACTCACAATGTTGAAATGTCCTCCTTGAACACATATTTTTACTTCCTCATCCTCATCTCCCTGTGATGACCTGGCGTCTCTATTTTAATTCAACATTCAGTAAGTGTACAGGGACTGAATCAACTGCATGGTTTTCCAGCTGAATAACTCATTGTGGGAACAGAATCTGTAAATAGGTTAAAATAAATAAATCTTGTTTTATAACTACCAAAATGTATTCTAAATCACCTTCCTCCTACTGGCTCCACTCATAGTGGTCCATGCCTGTGCCTCGTTCATCTTTCCAAAACTACCCTCATCAGTAATATGGCAAATTCATGAGACCGTCATCAAACAGAAATAAATATAGAGTAAAATGATCGTGGTGGCTAAATAAGAAAGGCTTGTTGATGTTGGAATTTAAGACTAAAAAAAAATTAGGCCTTTAACTCCTTCTTTTCCCTTTTTTAAAAAATGCAGCAGGAATCAAAGCTATTTTGGGGCTCAAAGATCATTTACTCGGCCTTTTATTGATCTCAGAGGGATTTCTTTTAATGGTAGAGGGAAGGGGGAAATACTAAATCCAGGGAAATTATATTAATAAAATATATCATCTAATTATTAGCAAGCATTCTTAGACTAGGAAAAACTTTTTTAAATTTAAAACTAACATCTCTGCTAATTTGATACAGATTTTATCATTGATAGGCAATATAAAGAGAATTAAAAAAAATCTAACTTCAAACAGAAAAAAGCAAAGGGAGTAATGAAAAAGCTATAAACAATAGGTAAAGAAACACAAACATTTACATTTTAACACAGACCAAACAGACAAGAAGGGACTTGCTGGCCAAAGGATCTCTCTCTCTCTCTCTCTTTTTTTACTTCTCTGTTTTTAAAGTATCAGGAAGTTGGGCAAAATATCAACCCTCCTCTATGTTACAGAACCCTCATACTGCTCTTGGTTAGCGTATTCACAGCTCAAACTGGCATTTTAAACCAACTCTAATTAGGCTGAAATTACAGTCACAATTCATTTATTTCAAATCCCTTAATTTTCCAGTGTTTTAAAGAAAGCTGTGGAGTGGAACTTAGAATTCAGCTGAGATGACATTTAATGCATAGCTCGGCACCACGATCTTGCCGACAGTAATGCTACTTCTTTCTTTCTTTCTTAAGAAAATAATATTAGTATCAGCGTCCAAGGCCTCTGAACTTGCTGAAGGCATGTTTATGCCTTCGGACTCTGATGTACCAGGGCCTAAATAAACTTTAATATTACAGTATTACAAAATATATCCTAAGTCATCCAAACAGCTTTTTTGACTGCTTCTGTAAATAATAGGTAACAAGTAGCAAATTGAAGATTTTTTTCAGTAGTCAAATATGGATTCCTCCATAAGCTAAAAGATAAAAGATGTTTCATGGGAGAAGGACGGACGCCTTTTGGGGTCCAGAATAAGCAATTAGGATGATTAAAGAAAACTCTAACTTTAAATCTCCCTTTAGTTTCAAAGATTAAGGCAGGGGGTTTACACGTAGAATTTCAGAAGACTCCTAAAGAATCATTTCAATTCTCTTCATCAATATCTGATGACTTTCTCATTAGCTTGCTCCTCATTCCAGGGAAGATAATCATTCTTTACTGATTAACTTCTGAAAGAGATTGTCTGAGACTTATTTAAAATCCAAATTTTCAAGTAAAAATTTCTATAGAAACTGCTTCAGAGGTGGTTGGTGAGGGATGAGTACAGAGTGGAGTCAGGAACGCACAGAGAATCCAGCCGATACAGACACTTGAGTCAAGTTTAGCTTGCTTTATCCTCATCTCTGCGCTGGTTCCCTGCCGGGAAATTTTCTCTGCTCCTTCTGTTATTCCAGGGGCAGGGCTCCTTTAGAATGAGCCCCCTCTTGTTGGGATGGGAGTGGTGACAGATTATTAACTGAGTGATCTGATTTCCCCTGCTGTCCTTGCCTCTGCCCTAAATGTTCTCAAGACCCCCTTAAACTTTTTTTCAAGATCTCTACACCTTGATCTTTAACCTAGAAGCTATCACTCAGTAAAACAGATATTTTTTTCAAAAAAAGTAAATTGTCAAAAGTCATTTTTAAAAGGACACCTCTATCATTAAGATTGCCCCTAAAAGGAAATCCCCGATGGCTCATGAAAGCAACTTATATGACTTTTTTCATTCTTTTAGAAGGAGATAGACTTTCATGTGGTGGCTTGACAAATGCTATCGCTTTAACTCCTGAAGATTCTTTATTAATCACTCAGTGTTTGCGGTGTGGGTTCCCTAGCAGAGGACAGATTCAGAAGAGACTCCTATTTACCCCAAAGGAAGCCACGGATCCCTGAGAACTCACTTCCTCTGTGTGTCTGAGCACCCGGTTCTAAAGGACCCTTAGGTGGACTATCAGCCGTCTCCTCCCCTCTGCGCTTATCTCAGAGTGACCCCGGGCCCATCCCTGTCAGGTCCCAGGACCGAGGGAGAGCTGAGGAGGTCTGCCCGCTGAGTCTGTTTATGTAAAGGGATTAGGGTGATTTAAAATTGAAATGGACTCCCAACCCAAATCTACAGAGCAGGAGGAAGGGCCAGGAAAGAGTCCAGCGGCTGTTCAATCTTATCTTTATTTCCATCCCCCCCCCCAAAACTCTTGCTTTCAGAAAACCGAGCAAGTCTACAGACGGCCAATTACACATTTTTTGGTTGTTTTTAGAAAGCATAATCTAAGTTTGGAAGGTGTGTGGAGCTTAAAAATAAAGAACTTCAACACTACTTTTTTAAAAAAAGTGAACATCATGCATTGTAACCAGCTCAAGATCCAGCCCAGGCTCCAGCCCAGGCTCGGAACCATAAAAAGTTTATGTTACATTCATCTCCCCTTAAAAGGAACAACGTTTAACCAGATTTTTTTTTTGTGAATAAAAAGAGTAGCTGATCTTTACAGCTCCCCGACCCCACCTGCCTGCCTTAGCCCTTTAAATGAAGAGGAAATGACTGTACTGATTGTATTAAAAAGTTGCCCCTTCTTAAACCCACTCAAGATAGAAGAACTGAA